GCGGACCCCCCTGCCTCTGCCCCTGCATACAACAGAATCAATGATCTCTTACCAGGAGCTAGGAGACTTTGTTGGCAACCGAAACAACTTTTTGGCACTTTGTGTGGATCGCTCGAAACTAATGGTGCTACATCACCAAATGGCGTAATAGGAAATAGATGATGATATGACCTTGCAAAATGGGGTGAGGAAACAAGGGTCAGTCCACATATACAACATTCTGTAGACAACTCACAAATGCTAGCTTTGCATCTTCGACAAGTGTAGCCTCCACCAAACTTGGCCTCTTTATGATACGAGCAGAACGAGATTACACCTTCTGCTGCTCTTTGCGGAAACTCCATCTTAATCAAATTCGCGATTGCAAATTCTGCTATGGCTGGAGGTGGTGGTGCATGCTCAAGCACTAATTCTTTTAAATGAGGCTGTCAAGAAAGATATAGTGCACTTTGTACTTATGCTGACTTTTTCTGACTTATCAGAATGGAAACGTTTTGAGGATTATTTACTAATTTTGATGATGTTACATATATCACAAACATTATTCTAAAAATTGCAACTCACCTCATCCAATGAAACAAAGTAGGATACACCAGTTTCTTGGCAAAGATATTTGCATATATAGAGAGCTCAGCAGAGAGACCAATTACCGAGCACCTAATCTTAGATGACTTGCTAAGAGCGGAGTATAGAATAAAGACTTCATGGTGACCATATGAAGGGATTTGATTGAGAAGGCTGTGTACGAGATCTAAGCCATTTTGCAGGGAAGCATCACCTGAACACACCAACTTACCCATCACTGCTTTGATACGAGACTCGGGACTGCCACCAAGCTCTGTTAGGCAATAAGCGACCCCATCTTTTAAGGTTAACATACCAATTTGACTCGAAAGGATTTTGGTCAAAGAACTCCCTGATGAAAGCCTCCACTTGTCGAGCAACCACTATCGTTTGGTTTGGGTTATAGTCTGTCTCTGTAGCTTCCTGCATGTCACAATACGTATTAGTATATAAAATTCTTTCAAAACAAGATAATATGGTGCAGACAAATAGATTATACCTTAAAAATTTTCATTCTTCGACCATTTTTTTACGGCATCTATGCTCGGTTTAACATTAAGATTGGTGATGTTAGACAATTCCACATGAAAAGTGTTTCTACCCAACCTTTGATTATATACAACAAGAAGAAGTTAATCCTTAACCCAATAAATTTTGGTCGATTGCACGAATCTATGTAGTGTTATATCAAGAAAGGTCTAATTAAGTCAAATGATTTGCAGCCCCAATAGATTAAATATCAATTTTGATCTATTTCTCACTCTTGTAACCAATTCTACTTGGATCATGGTGCTCTACGAATAAGTGCTTCTATAAGTTTATGTAAGATATGCCTTGAGTCGTACTTTCCTATGCGTTTAATAAAAGAGTTCGATAGCATATGCGTTTCATAAAAGAATTATATTAAGAACCTGTCTGGTGCAGATTTTGGAAATGAGAAATTGATTTTTTGTCCGTTAACTTCTGACACATGTGACACAGATTTTGCAGCTTTCTTTGAAATAGTTACCGTTGGACCACGTAACGATCAAAAAAAGACTTTTAATCCAATTTTCAAGCAATCTCAGACAAGCCCTAAATCTTTGGAATCATTAAAAATACAAAATCAACTGCACAAGACAAGCTTTAACAACCACATAATTCTTGTGTGATTTTAACTAAAGGCATTCTAGATGTAGGATTATAGTGGAGTTGGTATATAGATAGATACATGCTGATGGACTTTAAATCTTTTTGGGTTTGTTTGATTGTTAAGCTTGTTTTGCTCATCTGGTGCAGTCGATTTTGTATTTTTAAAGGGTAATTGCACAAAACACCATGAACTTTGCCTCTGTTGCGCAGAATGCATCCCTATCCTTTCGCAAAACCCCCCAAATGACATTTTCTTTGAGGAATACAACACTTTCTTCAATTTTCTCAATAAAATCTTGTGAAATGACAAATATACTCTTCTATTTAAATAAAACAAGAAAAAAGAAAATGTAGTTGCAACTGTAGTCCCAAATTTTAAAAAATACAAACGAGCCCCAAATAAATAATTAAAAAATTAAATGTAAATATAAGTTAGTTTATATATTTTATTTAAAAAATTAAATTAAATAAACAATTTTCACTATATTTTTTTGTTTATAATATTATTGACTTATAAGTTAGTTTTTATTTTCTATTTCATTTTCAATGAACTTATATAATTAATATATATTATATATGTAAGTTAGATGAACGATGAAGATATTATCAATTATATTATGGACGATTATCAATAGTTTTTTGATAAAAAGAGAGAAGCTTGGGTCAATAGCATAACATTCGTTTCAAACCATTAACGAAATTAGCGACGTGGTTAACAGGAATGCATACGTGTGCCGTTAACAATCACCACGTTTTCGATTGCTCACTAAATTTTGAAAAAAACATCTTTGATTGCTTGCTGAAATTTGAGGTGGTCGAATTTTGATCACGGAATTTATAAAAATGACTAGAATTTGAAACTACTTTCATCATTTGAAAATTAAAATTTATTGTAATTCGTTGTTAAAATTAAAATATGAATTTTGCAACGAAACACACAATAAATTTAATTAAATGAATTTTGCAACGAAACACACAATAATGAAAATAATTTAATTTTTTGAAAAATTGTGTTAAAATTAAATTTATATATTGTAATTGAATTATCATTTTTTGTGGGATTGAAAATTCGGACTCATTTGTAAACTTTATTACTTGGGACCGACTGGTGTATATATGCCGTCTACATTTTTTTAAACGAGGAACATGATTTTGATGGCTAAAATTCCACCGCCGCAAGTTCCAGTGGGCAATTGAATACTTTTTTCAGATTTCAGTGAGCCATCAATGACGATAGGAACAATTACTCGTGTTTGTTGACATTTACTATATCTAAAAGGGTTAGAAAATCGTTTTCGACGAGATTTCAAGCCAATTTCTTTTTACAGATCTCCGCCGTACATATATCCCCTGCAAATCAGCACGATTTTTTTGGTAAAAAATACTCATTTTATTAATAAAATTCCTAATTTGCTTGTCACAGCAGCTTTTAATTAATTTATTTATTCATCATTTCGGTGATTATTAAGAATCGGATCATCTATTGCATTGCTTATTTCTCCCTCGTGTTAATGAACGTCTCAAGAATCAGGTAAAAAATTGATTTTTGATCGAGTTTTAACCGTTAATGTGTGATTTAATTGCTCTAGTTAAAATTTTGGACATAATTTCATTATCATTACCGCAAGTTGTTATTTTTCTGAATATTGTGGATGTAGTATTTTGTCTTTTTTATCGAATTATCCCATTATTCAAATCAATCTGCTTTCGTATTGAAGTTATTTTGTTTGCTAATTAATAAATTATAGTATTTCCATCAATGACAATGAATGTTAATTATTTTTATTCTTTTCTGTTTATTGATTGGACAGAAGGTCAACTTCATCATGTATTTAAGACTTGAAAAAGTAGGGTTTTGCCTGTATTCAATTGCACTCTGGTTTGAAAAATAATAATAATTAAACTGGAGGCTCTATGATGTTGGGGTTGAGTCGCAACGGGATCAATTTGGCCAACTGTTTCTTTCACTTTGATGAGTGGTACCCGCTGGAATAGCATAGCTGATTGGGACTTCAAAGCGCTCTTCAGAATTTCCTTTACCCATAGGTATTCATCAACATTTTTTTTTCTAATTTTAATTTTTATTGAGGAATTTTAGAATTCAATAATTCTATTTTAACGGTCCTGAATGTAGCCCTTGTTATTGGGATTTATGCTAAGTCAATTCTGATCTAGATGGAACCTGTGCCAATTTTAATTCCAAGGCTGTAATCCCGTGCTTCTAAATGCAGCAGGCTTATACTTCTTATAGATGGTGATTGAACTAGTGGATAATTCTAATTGTTTGTTTTTCTGCTTTTCAGGTTTTGCTATCGATTTTATTCGCTATAAATTGTGAATCAGTGGACAGTTTTAGTTTTGTTAAGTGGAGCTCCATTGCCTGAGTGACATAAATGGGTTGTTGTTGGTGTTTTGAGTTTTCATTTTCTAGGAAACCCAAGAAGGGGATGGGATCCAGCTGTGGGTCGGGTAGTCATACTTCACAGGCTTCCTTGTTGTCGAAGGAGGGGGAAGATGATGATTGTGGTTCTTACAATGGTTACATGACAGATATTGGGAGTGCAGATGACTGTGAGTTCCAAAGCCCGACGAAACGGTCTGAGGAAATCCTTGTGTACAGGATGCAGCATGGGTTAATTTGCAGGGAATTTCCTGTTAAAGAAACCCATGAACTCGTTCGCTCAGAGGTAAAATGCATAACAAATGTATTTTTCATTTCAACTGCCTGTACTGGAAATTTTCACTTTTAAGCAAGGCGTTGGCGAATTTTTGACCGTATGTTCATATATGAATGCACTAAATAACTTGCTAATATTTTCTCAGCCAGGCAAGTTTGTTATGTAGAACGCTTCCCTATGAGCCATATTCGGATTATTTATTTTTGTCGAGAAAGCTAGGTTTATAGCAGAACATATCTCTATGAATACCTTGGTTTCTGTTATATAGTTCGTAGATGGAGTTTGAATTGTAGTTGTTAATTCGACGAAACCCTCCCCCAAACCTTAAGAAGCACCGGCATGGACACGAGTATTGGACACGACAGAGACACGCAAACGTGCAATTTTTCAAAAAAAGTGTTGACAAGGTGATTAAAATAACATTATCTTTTATTTTGTAATGTAAATGAATTTTTGTTAGTTTCGATGAGCGAGAATTTATCTCTCAGCATGTTGGGAATGGATTTCCTAACATTTTCAAATGTACAAAACCAGAAAATAATTTGGAAACACCACTTGACGTTTCCACCATGTGTTAGTGTCTAACATGATGTATCTCTTAGCGTGTCACCAATGTGTTGGCAACTTGTTCAACTGTACAAAGTTAAAGAATAATAATTTGGACACGTCATCTCACATTTTCTACATGTGTCGGTGTCGTGTGATGCCGACACGATGTATCCCTTGGTGTGTTGGCAACGTGTCCAGCTGTACAAAACTAATGAAATATTTTGGACACGCCACTTGTAGATGTCATGTCTTGCTAGTGTTGGGAGGGTGTCGGTGCATCCTAGCCCAAATTCAAATGAAAAAAGGGGGGAAAAAGAAGAAAATAAAACTGAAAGGGAAAAGAAAGAGAATATAATGTTTTTACCCAGATAAAAAATTAATAAATCAATGTACAAATGCATGCGACCTTTAGAAACCTATGTGCTTCCATGATGTGGTCTTGGGCAATGAAGAACATATGTACTGTGGCTGTGTTTTGCTTGATGTTGTGCATTTTGTATTAGTGCATCATGAAAAATAAAACATCTGATCCATATAGTTGGGGTGCGGCGGTTCAGGAGGGTGGGGTTGTAAATCAATATGAGTCTACAGAATTAGATGATGGTCAATGCATATTTTTAATTCTTTATACTTGATGAATGAGGTTGGCCACAATTTCTTACCACTTTAACTAAGCGTGCGTATGCAAATTCATATATTTTTATTTGAATGAAATGTTTTACTTATCTATATTATGCATGGGTGGGGGTTGTAAATCAATCTGAGCCTATCCAGAAATAGATGAAGGTCAGTGCATGTCTTTAATTCTTTATGCTAGATGAATGAGGTTGGCCACAAATGCTTACCGCTTTACCTAAGCATGCATATGCAAATTCATATATTATTATTTGAATAGAATTTTTTTAATCTATGTTATGTAGTATTCTAGTCAAGATGTTATCCTGTGCAGTTTCAAT